TATCACTAGTGAGTGTATCTTCCTAGTTTTCTCTTTTCTGCCTTTAAGGCAGTTGCTAGGTTCAATAGTTTCTCCCTCAATAAAGCATTTTGTGATATTCCATAAAAAGGATGTTATGCACAAATACATTTCACCCCACAATCCAGTTTCCAGGATTCTCTACATGCTGAACAGGAAAAAGTGGTGTTATTTCATTGTTTTATTTTAGCTTTTTTTTAAAGTTGCTCTAAGTCTTTTGGGGAAGAGTGACAAAAGTCTAATCAACTCAATATCATATCCACAATATACATTTCACAGACATAGGGGCTGGTATTTCTGCTACAGAAGGAATGAACATCATGCTCATTATATTATCTTTTCAATGGAGGTGCATTTTAAATTACAAAACTATAAGAGCAAACAAGCTTGTTAAGCAGAATAACTAGAGAAATCACACTGAGGCAGGTCTCTTACTCATGAACCTTCTTTTGCATAGCTACAACAAAACCAAATTTTAATTAGTATAGAACTAAAATACTGCATGTCTCCTTTTTCATGACATTACTTGTTATAATATCTATCTTTCAGTGAAGAGGAATCTCATCATCATATAAAGCAGTATCAATGTATCCAATTTACCTTAGCCCTGTGCTATCGTGGGCAGGAATAAGGCTAAGGGAGTGTGGCTAAATTACCTCCATGATCAAGGCACTCTAGTATAGTACCTTGGAGTCACATACTGCAACCTAAAAGTAGGGCTGAAGCTCATGTAGGCAGAACTAAACTAACTTTAAACTGGCCAGTTTAGGTATAGTTCAGTGCAACTATGGCAGCATGGAGCTTAGCATGGGCTAGCTTCCCCAGTATTGACCCAATGTCCAAGACAGGATTTGCAGCCTGTGATGAATCCTATGCTACTAAGGCTACACAGTCATCCCTGTCTGAACAAATTAGTTATGATTACTGTGAAGTTACACTTTGCACTATAGACAAACTCTCAGATTCTTTCATTTATGCTGAGTACTTGAGTCGGTGGGGAGTGGGGGAGCTGGCGAGGGGAGGGGTCAGCCGTGGCAGGAGC